AAAATTTTCAATAATTTTTCCTAATTATAATAAAAAATAAAACCCGTAGTGGTGATTAAATACCCCCAAAATAAAGCTCTGTCTGTCCCCAAAAAATGGTATAAAATTCATTTCAGTACAGCGTTGCATGACGGAATAAACGTCAGTCAAAGTATCGCAGCGCTGAATACTGAAAAATGGCCTGGCCAGGAAGGGGGTCTAAACACCTGGTCTTGAAGTGGTTAACTAACCAAAATTTGATTGGCTGATTCAGGGTACAGCACTTGGCACATCTTCATTTCATTAAGCTTATTTTCTTGCTGAGATGGATAAGGTTTCATGAACCTCTGATGATCCTAGAACTGGACTGGACATATCCCAGGAGCCAGGTCGCCTGAATTCCATATTCGTCTACAAATATGAATTAAAAAATATATTTATATATTTTTTTTTATATAGTAATATTATTTATTATTACTCTGTATTATTTACACAGTTTAAATACATATGCTTTAATCAGCCAGTCTTGCCTTTCCCTCCATTTCCCCACCATAGTAGAAAATCCATATAGTGACACCATTGTATTTTATTGCAGATTCTGTTTTCTGATTGGACCGTGAATCTTCCTAGTCCAATGAGGAGGCAGGTGGCCCAGGCAGCTGCATAGCTGCAGTAAAGCTGGCAGTATACTAGTGGAATTATATTTACAATTCTGAGAAAATTGTTCTTTTAGAGAATTGGATCTTGCCGAAGAGTCAACTAATTTCATTCAAAAACCCTTAAAATATCAGCCGCACCGACTACATTACTACCATTACCATTACTACCATTACTACCACTACGCTTAGAAAAATGAAAAAAGACAATTTCTTATCTAAAGAAATTCTACTGGTGTATGGCCAGCCTAACGAATGATGGCGCCCCCAGATACCCAAATCCTTTGAGTTAGCTGTTTACATACTGTATATGTATTTGTATTGTGTAATAAGCTCTTGAACACATAAGGACAGAGTTTTTTAAGCCGCAACTCTCCTCTACAATAGAGCTGATATTGTATAGAACATTCAGCTTTGTCAACTCAATTTCCTCCCTTTTCTTTTAGGGAAGTGCTGGAAAAAGATGCAAAAGATTATGCTGACTCCATCAATGCTGTGTTTGTGGAGACAAGTGCCAAGAACGCCGTCAACATTAACGAGCTATTCTTAGAAATTAGTAAGTATACAGGCCGTAGCTTTAACAGCCAGGTCAGCGCCTTATCTCGGCCATCATAGGTTGTCTCTAGGGAGACCACATGAGCAAAGTTACAGGGGGTCATTACAGCCAACACAACCTACTTACACTCTCCTTCGCTCTATTGCTGTTGTTGCATTTGCGCTGCTCCATTGCAGTTGTTGCATTTGCGATGCTCCATTGCAGTTGTTGCATTTGCGCTGCTCCATTGCAGTTGTCGGTCAGTTGATGACGTCCTTCTTACTTGGCCTCTGCTGGCCTGATGATTGTCCGTTGGCCCAAGTGCGGCATCATGGGAGGAGGTCACATGCACCTCCATACCAGGAAGCAATGGTAATTTCACAGCAGCTCCAATGAATCATTGGAGACAGTGGGTTGGAGGTGGGCTAGTAAGAAGTTTTGTCTCTTTATCCAGTATGGGTAAGGGGGTAGAGTCTCTTTAAATAGCTCTACTCTTTTCCTTTAGGTAAAAGAATCCCATCAGCCAATGCCAGTGCCACTTCCGGAAAGGGATTTAAGCTTCGAAGGCAATCTTCAGAGGCGGAGCACCGATGCTGCTGACCAGATGGATACGTAGAAGGGACTGTTTGTGAATGTGCCTCCACCGGTCTAGTTACCACTATGCACACAGTGTGTACGCTTCCTCCGCTGTAAGCTTTCCACAGAAAGGGAAAATGTGTAGATGCCGTCCGTCTATTTTTTTGTTCTGTTTTGTTTTTATACTATAGATTATAATTTTTTTTTGGTACTCCTGCTGTAAGGATCTCTGTTCTCCTTACTTAACCCAGAGCTCCATCGCTCATCTTTCCATAATTGTCCTCTAGGAGGACATGGATGCCACACAGGTGGAAGGTTGGGGATTTCTTGTAGCCATTCCAATATTCATAGATAAGCTCAACCATGAACTTCAGATTAGATATTTTAGAGGAGCAAGTGGGTCATTTTACTCATTGCTGTGTTTTTTTAAATGGTTAAAGCCCAACTCTGTGCACAAGACAAAACCCCTGGACACCCTGAAAGGGTTTAATGCTAGTCTAGAGGGTACAATAGAAGTGATATTATTTACCTTACCCTCCACTTGGGCAGGCTCTGGTGCTCGTCTCCCTGATGCTCTGGGCTGTGGATGGTTCCTCTGTGCCATCAAGTCCAACACACTGTAAGTAGAGGAGATGAGTGCATAACTGTGGCCTGGAGCGCCTTAGAGAGGAGGCTACGACGAACCATGGATGAAGGGAGCCTGCCAGAGCAAGGAGTAAGTTAGGTATTACTCCTTATCCCTGCATCCCCTAGACTTAACAATCACTGCAAGGGATTTTTTGCCTTCAGTTAAGCTTTACCGTCTTCTGGGGACAGGATTGTTCCAGAGGAAAGATTGGCCAGTTGTTTTAAGACACAACTCCCAACGCGATAAGACGTTATAGATCATGTATAATACTAAAGACTTTAAACCTTGAAAAGCATTAATGGGCTTACTGAATAAGGGCAGACACTTAAAGACTTCAGCTAAACACTACTTGTATATAAAATGCAGCTTCACATAATACGTTTAGGAGACCTACAACCATTTCTTAAAGAAAACAAAATGACATTTTCTTGCTTTGGATTAGTGAAAGTTATGTTTGAATCCATAAGCCTCACTAGCCTACCCTTTCAGTGTTTGATACATTGGAAATGATTACAGCTCCAGGTTCCTGCAACAGTTTCCAAAGTAGAGCACACTCGGCAGTCCTCTAGAGGTCTTCTAAGTAACGTTATGCCTTCAGCATCACCGGGGATGTCAAATGGTAAAATTCTCTCCATTGGCGAGCCAGTTGCCCCGAGACATGGACAGGGTAGCAAAGCACAGAGGGTGTTAGAAGTCAGAGAGCCGTCAGCTGGCTTATCATCTGCTTTCCAAAATTTAGAGTCATGAAAGGTGGGTGTAGAAGTGGGCTCTTCCATGGCCATTCAGAATGAAGGAAATCTTGGGAATTTTCCTTCTCCCTACGGTTTAACACTAGAACATGTTCTTGCATAGCAGGAAACTACAAGAAACAGCACAATGTTAAGTGAAATAATGCCCACTAGTGGTGAGGATTTTTAATCTTTTATTTGACTCTGGACTTCCTTGCATCTTTTTACTTTGTCATTGTGACATATTTTAAATGCTCCCTTTTTAGAAACTCTTTTTATTGACACTTTTTAAAAACATTTTTTGGGGACTGCAAAAGCCATCTCCGCAGATTAAATTATATGGTGTATTTCCTACAGTCTGTTTAGTGACGGATAGCTGAGACAGCTTACTAGCAATCGGGAAAGGGCAGAGGGTTCTGAAATTATACCATGGACCCGGTTTACTGACAACAAGCAGTTAGCAGGTTCGGTTATAAAAGTTTTGCCAGGTAGATAGCGCCTCTAGATGACGCTGACGGGTATAGGAATTTCCCATACTCATCAGTGACATCTAGGGGCACCAGTGCTGTGCGAATGGCATATGCCAGGTGGAACTTTTATAAATGAACCCTTTAGTTCTAGAGACATCTTAGCTGGAAGGAATAAATGTTAAACTGCAGCTAAGGCATAATTAATATTTATTTATGGACCATTAAACCATCTGGTCCAATGTTGAGGAAATGTGGGGGGTTAACTAGCTCTCATTACAGTAGAGTTAGTCATGGAGGCTTCAACCTACAGTTTCCAGCATGGTAATGGCAGAGTGGAATAGATGACAGGTGCACTTTTGCTAGGGACATTGCAAGTACCACTCTTTATTTTGTCTGTATGCTCCACCCCATTAGTTTCCTCTTCCTTATAGGAAAAGTGTATTCTTGTTCCTCGTAATTGATGTTATGTTACCACTTTATTGCATCTCTGTTGCACATATTTATGTCGTATGATTGCTTTTCATGGACGCAGTTTATTTAGGCCAACTTCCATTAGCATTCTGAAAAGCACATTTTTCATATATTAGCTCCACAGATAGAACAGATCCATTGTTAAATGATACAGCTAAACATAGGACTTTATTCCATTCATGCTGCGTGGACTATTGCACTCCCGGGACCGGCATTCGGACACCAGGTTGACCATAAATGTCATGATTTTAGGTAGCGCCAATTTAAGCATTGCTAGAGATAATTGTAGCCCAGAACTACAAGGGGTTGATGTAGAAGCCATCCATCCAGAGTTATACAGGGCAAATGCCATTCGTACAGCATTACCACCACTAGATGGCACAGAGGAGCAAAGGAATTAGGGTCAGAATGACCTTTTATTAGCTTACTGTCCCTTTACAGAATAACATGAGACATTTAAGTTAATTTGTTGATGTACTTAGCCGAGAATGAACATTTTGAGTGTGCAAACCTTGTAGTGGAATACAAGAGTCTAAATACCAGTGTTATTATCCAATGCATTTCAGCTTTGGCACCCTTTAAGGTTTACCCGTGGCAGTATAAAGCAGACACCTTGCACGTACATTCATTATAGGAGTTTTAAAGTCCCCACATTTCCTCTCCTGTTATAACATCAGCATTGTAATAGGAATACATAGTAGAGTTGTGTCTGATAATACAATCAAAGCTTATTTGAAAAAATCCCTTTTATGTAGCGAGTTCTGCCTTCAGTCTGCCCATCACTTTCACCAACTTCCTTGATTGCCAGGGTGCTTTGCATCTCTTTGCCTGCTACTTAATGTGATGCAATCTCCATTTCTCAAGACTACATATCCCATCCTGCATTGCTTCCAGCAAGCAATGATAATGTTACATTGTCCAGACGTCGAGTCGGAAGTCTAACCTATTTGTACTTTCAGGGTGTCTGATTTAAACTGCACACAGGTTGACATTTATACAAATAACAAATGTACTAATCTTTCCATTGACCTCTGTGAAATACTATAGCACCATCTATCATAGGGCCAACTGTGACATCTGCTCGATTTTGGACTTTTCACGTCCATTTGGAGAGCTACAATGTGGTTACATTAATTGTCACATCTTATTGATTGATGGAGCATCTAGTCAGCAACTGCAAAACCAGCACACGATGCTCTTCCAAAAAGAATCAAATTTAATTCCACATGCATCTGTACTAAGAACAACGTTACGCGTTTCTGCCTTACTCGGCCTTAGTCATAGCTATGATTAAGGCCAACTAAGGCAGAAACGTGTCAACTGTTCTTTGTACAGATGCAATGTAGAAGAAAATTTGATTATTTTTGGAAGAGCATTGTGTTCCGGTTTTGCAGTTTCTAAGATATGTACTCTGAAAGAGAGTTATCTGAGCACTGAATGTGGATTACAAGAATGTATGACAGGGGTGAGCTGTGCGTTTAGTGTTTCTCATCTAGTTAGCAGGTCGCTCGTGAAGAATAGCTGGTCTGTTCTTCCTTTTGGCGGCTAGTAGTACTTTTAATCCTATGTAATTGTGATAAAATATTTAGTTTCTGGTATGCGTTAGAAACTTCAATGATGAGATCTCTCTTCCAGAGTTTCCGCCTATATCGGTCACAGAGCCCCAACCTTAACAATACAAGATGCTTGTAGAGGACAAGACATGTGGGCGGAGCTGGGAACCCAAGTGCCCTCAGAGTTCTTGAGAGTTATTGAGCAGCTGGCGGGTGACTCGTATGTCACCATCTACCCAATACAGAAATAACAGTTTTTAGAAGACTGACCCTTTAATGCCCTAATGATTATCAATCCCACGGCTAGCTTTTAGGTGCTGAGCGGTGCATAAAAAAATGCTTGCTTGGTAAATCAATATTTTTTAGTATAACTTTATTAATGTTTAATATGCTTTTATTTACGTAAGAGCTGGAAAAAGTTGCCATGGCAGCTGCAGAACAAATAGCCACTGCAGTGACTTCCCCGCCTTCTGTCCCCGGCGCCAAAAGCTGCAACTGAAAACCAGGCCGGACAAGTTTACCGTCTCACGTGCAGTTAGCTGACTCATTCGTGCCACTTGTGTGCTGCAATGCCATAACATTTTAGCTTGTGGATCGAGAGAAATCGTTAGGTTCAATTACAGAGAATAAGGAACTGTCACTTGAGAGAATTAAGAATGAGCTGGCAAACCTGACCTCTACCCAAATCTGTACTACCCCTTTCGTGTGTACTGGCGCTTCCTAATCAGAGAAAAGAGGTCTAAATGTACAGGTTACGTTAAGGTGGCCATAAAAATTAGAGGCTGGCCCTTTAATTAAAAAATTATTTTTGCACAAAAACTTTCACACATGGATCACCCTAACATGCGCGGTCATACTGAGGTATCAGGACGGAGGAAGAAGGGTGCACAAACAACTCTATCGCCAGCTGATCTCAGGGGGAAACTTTGTTCCATTGAAAGTATCCAACATGGCCGATGGATTTTTTTTTCCCCCTGAGGTTGTCTGATGACGACGTGGTATCAATAGGAGGATGGTTGGTCCACTTACCCGTCTCTGATGTCTATGGCAAATCTCAGACTTATGCAAGAATCTAGATACAAAGTCTTAAATTGTTCTAGGAGGCTGATGTATTAAAGTTTTGCCCAATGTATAGCTGGGTGAAGGCTGTTCGCACAGCATTCCCACTATTAGATGGAGCCAAGGGGCATAGGAGATTCCTATATAGTGGCAAGAATGCCATGCTAGCAGCATTTGGCCACTGGGCTGAACGTTTATACATCAGCCCCTAGGTGTGGAAAATGTACACGTTCCCTTGTTAAGTCAAAGGTCATCTTACATGTGCCACTGGTTGCCCTGTTACCTGGTGACCTTGCACACTTACCAAGCTACCCGGTGTGCATAACAATAAAAAGTAAAAGCCTCATCTGCTACAAAGCTGTACCGGTTACCCTAAATTTATTAAAGTGCATTTTAACCGGGAGTATCTGGCTTCCTGCTGTAGCTGTCATACTTCAGGTG